CACACGTGACAAGCCAGGAGACCCGACTCACCCGCTTGAGGAGGCTGTGATTAACGCGACTGCTCAAGTTTCAGAAGCCAAGTATTAGAATGTCCAAAATATTCCGTTTTCCGGGTAATTTAGAGTCCCTTCCTGCAAGGATATACATGGTTATCCAAGTGGTAGTGGATAATTGTGTTCCATTGAAACCTACTGATAGGTAACTTGGCGGGTAACGCGAAAGAAATAAAGGATGAGAACACGTTGACTCGGACTCAATAAAGTCACTGGCGGAATGTTCCTGGACTGCGAGTGCACGCCCAAATCATGAATGAATAGCGCATTTCCTTTAGATTTCTGTTACTATAACTAAGGATTAATACTGGACGCCCTAGAGGAATCCTAAAAAGAAGGGCGTTTGGACGATCGGTAGACAGTATGTAACGTTCCGGTTAGCATTTGTCCCTTTTGTAGGCTTTTGTACATTTTTGATTTGTTTCACTACACTTTCCTGTACATCTGACTTTCCTGTACATTTGTTTGACTAACCGGAAATACACAAAAAAAAAACAACTCTGTGGCTGTCAACGTGTGTTCTGGTTTCGAATGTGCTGAATGTCGTTATTTCTTGGCCTTCGCTTGTAACCTCTCAACATTCTTAGCAATTCGTATGAGCTGACGGAGACTCTCTCCTCACAAGCCTACTTCACCATATCATCGCGGAACCGACTGCCTCTTTTCAACCGGTTCCTCATCGGAATACTATCTCGCTAATTGAGAGGATTCTACTTTGCGTGAGTCTGGAACATTCCTTTTCTGATTCTTCGAATCTGTACATCCTTTTTTTGTTGGTAAACACAATTCCCCCATTTGGAGTTAGTTTTTCCTGTATATATTACTGTTTGTAGTTTTTAAGTCCACGTTTTCACTACAAAATTGCTGACCCCGCTTTTTCCTGCATTCCGAACCTTTTTTTATTTACCATGGCCAGTAACGACTCCCAAAAAGATTCACTCGACATTAACACCCTTCCTTTTAAACTGCCACCGTTTACACCGAAGAATCCTCGCGTTTGTTTCAGGCAGATCGAGGCTCTTTTTGCGACAAGCCGCATTACTAGCGAGCGTACCCGCTATTCGTACGTTTTGCAGTCCCTCCCATTTGATGTAGCTGTCACCGTCGAAGACCTCCTTGACCCCATCCCAGCCGACGAACCGTATACGCGGCTGAAGGAAGCGGTAATCCAACGGGTAGCTAAATTGGCCAACCTTATGTTGCGGGAACTTTTCACGCAAGTAGAACTAGGTGATCAGACACCTTCCCAGCTCATGCATCACATGCGCTCACTTCTCGCTGATAGGCACATAGACGACGCCATTTTTCGCGAGATTTGGTTAGAAAAGTTACCGGTGCCGATGCAACAGGTTTTGGCTATGTTGGACTCAAATACATCTTTAGAGAAGCTAGCTACCCACGCTGACAGAATCAAAGAGTGTTACCCCATTGGTGCCTCGTGTTCCAATATTAACAGCCCCCGCCTTCCAAAGGCAAGCCCCATCAGGGCATTGACTTTGATTCAGAAGGCCCAGCATTATCAGAGCACGACACTCCCTATACGGAAAAAGCAGCATGCTGTTGCACAACCCGACGAGCGCCCACATCAGCCGGTCCTCCCAGAACACCCACCGACGCTTATCGCACCGATTACGACTACCTAAGAGACACTGTGCGCCTCTTTTGCACTCAGGTGAGCAACATGTGCTCTGCTCTTAACAGTCTTCAATCGGCTAGAAAACAGCCATACTCACATCGTCGGTCTAAATCCCGTGAGCGGCGTTCACAACCATTATGTTGGTATCATCGCACTTATGGCCCGAGAGCCCGAAATTGCATACCTCCTTGTTCGTTCGCTTGAACTTCACAGTTAAACGACCACGCCAGCCAGTAATAGCGACGACTGCTGCTGGCCCGTCGCGACCCAGTCGCCTTTTCTTTATCAACGACAAGTCGAGCGGCTTCCGTTTCCTTGTTGATATCGGTGCCGAGGTCAGTGTCATCCCGCCTCTAAGGCGTCACCGCCTCAAGCCTTCGCAATTCTCATTGCAGGCTGCAAATAGCACCACAATCAGCACCTACGGCCAACGGTCCCTCACTTTAGATCTTGGTCTACGGCGACGTTTTCAATGGGTCTTTATTGAGGCCGACGTCAAATCGCCCATTATCGGGGCCGACTTTTTGTCATCTTTCGGCTTAACAGTCGATGTCAGACACCGTCGCCTCATAGACACCACCATCCAACTCTTTGCTATAGGTACCATTAGCTCTGAACGTTCGGTTGGCATTCATCTCACCATCTCCAGCACCCCTTTCGTTGACATTTTGAAGGACTACCCGTCCATCACTAAACCATGTCATTTTACCGAAACCGTTCAACACGGAGTGAAACACCACATTGTCACGGCAGGGCAACCAGTGCACGCTCGTCCGCGTAGACTCCACCCTGAGAAGCTCCGAATAGCATAGAACGAATTTGAACATATGATGAATCTGGGCATTATACGCCACTCATCTAGCCCATGGGCCTCACCACTGCACATGGTACCAAAGAAGTCATCTGATGATTGGCGACCGTGCGGTTATTATCGAGCCCTAAACAGGACCACAATTCCTGACCGGTACCCCATTCCCCACATTCACGACTTTTCCCACATGTTAGCCGGTAAAACTATTTTTTCCAAGATAGAACTCGTCAGGGCGTACCACCAAATCCCGGTTGCTGAGGAAGACATCCCAAAGACCGCTATCACGACACCCTTTGGGCTGTTCGAATTTATTCGCATGCCTTTTGGTTTGCGCAATGCTGCCAGTCGTTTCAGCGCTTTATCGATGAGATCTTGCGGGGTCTTCCATTCGCTTACGCCTACATCGACGATATACTCGTCGCAAGCTCTTCGGCAGAGGAACATGTCTCGCATTTACGCCTCATATTCGATCGTTTCCAGCAACACGGTTTGCAATTAAACGTCGACAAATGCGTTTTTGGCGTTAATTCTCTCGATTTCCTTGGCCATCACGTCGATCAGCACGAAATCACTCCACTTACAGAGAAGGTGCAATGCATCTTGTCTTTCCCTGCTCCCAACACTCTCACTCAGCTGCGACGTTTCATAGGCCTTATCAACTATTACAGACGTTTATTCCCCATTGTGCGGCAATCCTGGCTCCCTTGACTGACCTTTTGAAGTCGAAAGCTAAACCTATTGAACTTTCACCGGCAGCCCATACAGCTTTGAGGAAGCCAAAAAGGCTCTTGCCGATGCCACCATGCTGCACCACCTCAGCTCTGACGCTCATGCACGGCTCTTTTTGACCACCAACGCTTCCAGCAGTGCTGTCGGCGCAGTCTTGCATCAACAGGTGAATAACCAGTTGCAGCCTTTAGCTTTCTTTTCACAGAAGCTACAACCGGCGCAGACTCGCTACAGTACTTTCTCTCGCGAACTCCTTGCCATCTACTTGGCCATACGTCACTTTCGACACCTTTTAGAGGGTATAGACTTTTCGGTCCACACCGACCACAAACCTCTCACTTACGCCCTCAAGGCCAAGCCAGATCGGTACTCGCCCAGGGAAGTTCGTCACCTGGACTATATATCACAGTTTACTGCAGATATCCGCTAAGTCCGAGGCAGCGACAATGTCGTTGCTGATGTATTATCCCGTCCGGACATCAACACACTCACATCCGATTTCGACCTGGCGAAGCTTGCAGACCTCCAAACAGCAGACGAGTCCATCGCGGACTTACGTAAGTCTACTACTCTGCAGCTTCGAGATGCACCACTTCCTGCGTCACCAGGTACGATTTTGTGCGATTGGTCCACAGGCGCCCCTCGTCCTGTTGTTCCACTACCCTATCGTAAGGTCGTCTTTGACCACTTTCACTCCCTCTCCCACCCTGGCATTCGCGCTGGACGTAAGTTAATTGCGGCTCGTTTTGTTTGGCCGAAGATGAATTCCGACATTGCTCTTTGGACCAAACAGTGTCTCGCATGCCAGAAGAACAAGGTGCATCGACACACCTTCTCCCCTCCAAGTACCTATGCGGTCCCGGACGTTCGATTTAATCACGTTCACTTGGATTTACTCGGACCGTTACCCCCTTCACGTGGGTACACACATATCCTGACGGCAGTTGACCGTTTCACACGATGGCCGATTGTCGTTCCTATCTCGGATACCTCGGCAGAAAATATCGCCATGGTTTTTCTGACTACTGGATCTCAACTTTTGGTGTTCCAGCCACCCTTACCACTGACCGCGGAAGTCAATTCCAATCTAGCCTCTTCCGTGAGTTCACTAGACTGCTCGGGTGTGCGCACATCACAACCACGGCATACCATCCTGCCTCCAACGGCCTCGTTAAGCGTCTACACCGCCAACTCAAGTCCGCACTGATGTCTCAAACAGAGTCAGCTATTTGGAGTGTCAATCTCCCTCTTGTGCTTTTGGGCATCCGATCTTCTGTCAAGGAGGACATCCAATGCACTGCCGCCGAACTTGTGTACGGTACACCCAGTGTCGCAACATTCCGATTCGCGGCGAATCGTGTGTTTCGCAATTACAAATAAACGCCTACTGATTGCATTAAGTAGGTATAGTATTTTAAACTTTCGGCGTCTTCTGCTTTCCTGTCGGGCGTGCGTGCGTATTTCTTCCAAAGTATTGCTTGTGTTTGTGCGCAGTACTATCACTTACCCTAATTTCTGATTCTACTATCCCCTTCAGAGGTTATGCATTTAGTTATGTTTTTACGGTATTGTTAATCACTTTCTGCTGCTAGGATTTAGCTCATTATTAAAACCTTCATAGCCATTGCCGTTACTGATGCTAGTAGTATTGCAGTTAGTTACCCATACTGTGAGTGTTGGCAGAGTAGCATTGGCAGCCCTGGTGGCGATGATAGTAGTAGTAGTAGTAGTAGTAGTAGTAATAGTAGTACAAATAGTAGGAGTATTAGTAGTATTCGCTGTAACAGTGGTGGTAGTGTTTGTTGTTGTTGACGTCGTTTTTGTGCTGACAGCAGTGTTAGTTATGGCAGTATTAGTAGTTGTGGTAATATTATAAGTAGTAGTAGTAATAGTAGTAGTGGTTGTAGTAGTATTAGTAGTAGTAGTAGCAGCAGCAGTAGTAGTGGTTGTTGTAGTAGTAGTAGTAGTAGTAGTAGTATTAGTAGTAGTAGTAGTAGTAGTAGTAGTAGTAGTAGTAGTAATAGTAGCAGTAGTAGTGTTACTAGCCGTTTCACAAGACAGTGGAATCATCGCTGATATTATTGAGTCGCCGTAATTGCGGACACGGCAGAATTGGGTAGCAGTATTTCCATCTCTGGTAGTTTTCATGCTGCCACCACATCCGTCATTAGCCGTACTAGTATTGGCAGTTTGGTCGGCGGCCGCATTAGTAATAGTAGTGATTGTCGTCTATGTACTGGTTTCCGTTTTCCTTACCTTGCTATTTCAGAAGTTTTACCAGCAGTCGTAGTACTGCTTGTCACAATGACTAGTACCCATACCAACAGTAGTACTAGTTGTAAATCTGTTGTCAGTAATAGTCGCTTGGGTAGTAGCTTTTGTAGTAATTTGTAGTTCTATTACTTACCGTAGACTGTGCACTTCCTGCCAATCAGGTAGGCCTACCGATGTCAGCGGTACCGACACTTCCTGTCACCTACTTACTGTTGCACGTGGTACGTGTGCCGATGTACTTCAATCACGATGTCATTAATGCAATTTTGATTGGTACTAACAGTTGCCGTAGTTCTACGCGTCCCAGTTTTCATACCGGTAGTAGAGGGCATGGTTACAATACCAGTTGCGTTGACAGTTATTGCGGGAGTGCAGGAGGTAATTGTGTTCGTACCATTAATAGTAGTAGTAGTAGTAGTAGTAGTAGTAGTAGTATTAGTAGTAGTAGTAGTAGTAGTAGTAGTAGTGGTAGTAGTAGTAGTGGTAGTAGTAGTAGTAGTAGTAGTAGTAGTAGTAGTAGTAGTAGTAGTAGTAGTAGTAGTAGTAGTAGTAGTAGTATTGATACTCATGGCCTTCATAGTAGCGGTTGTACTAGAGGCGGAAGCATAAGCACCAGTCATTGAAGCAGATTCTGTACCCGTCGACGTTCTCCTAGCATTAGTGATAGATGCAGGTTTTATATAAAAAGAAGTAGACATAGGGATTGCAGTTCTTCCATAGGTGGAGGTAACACAATTACGTACGGCAGAATTAGATGCAAGAGTCCACTTAGCCGTCTGGGCTTAGGTACCCTCCAGATACTAATTGCGTATTTCCCTCCTTGTATTAGTGTAGTTCCATGTAATTCAATAGGGGTAGGTCCATTCACCTTCCTTACTTTTCCTGAGAGAGACACATCTCATAACATCTGAAACAGTTCTTGCTTCACTGACGGTAGTCGTCGTACTACCTGTAATAGTAGGCTTAACGCCCGATTTACCGAAGGTGAGCTAACTTACGAAGTGTCCGCCGACATTCCAGAATATGTTTTCCCTTCGGAACCATTCATTAGGTAGGGTTATAAAATTAATCATCATGCAGAATAATTCCATAGTAATTCAGTTACCTGAGGATGCCTGCTTTCGGACGAACGTCTTTCCCGTTGTATATAATAATAATCATTTTTTATTAAAGACCCGTCGGGGTCTCATCAAAGCAAGTAAAAATAAATTTACATGCGCATTTTAGACGAGGTAGACAGAATCTTTACAAAATGCAAATCATCGTTTCTGAATTAGTAGTCCATTGAGAAAAATGACTAGCGAGGGGTGAAAAAAAACTCCATACAAAAAATTTAAAAATGGTTGGATTAATTTACAGGAGAAAAAAAACCTCAATAAAAATAATATGCGTAAATATATATAATATAAAGTATATAAAAATATATTTCTTAGAATAATGCTTACTTACAAAGCATACATTTTTTCAGTGATTCTCGATGCCCTTAGAAATTCGCTTACATTTCCTACAAAACTTGCATAAACCATATGCATTCTCCTGCTCACTCGATAGAAACTGACGTCTTTTTCCAATTTCGTACTCGAAGGAAGAGTATGCTTCGGTGTTAAAATACTTTTCCAGTTCCACGAATAGCATTGATTCCCGCCTACCGTTACACTCGTAATCAGAGTTTCCAAACTACAAGCTGTATACAATCCCGCGTGCGGGAAGCCATATATTTGTCTTCGGTATTAAAAGTAGACAACATGGGATTCATAAAATTCAGCAGTGAACTTGAGCCATATCGTTAACATTAGAAGACCTCTCCCTACATACAAAGATTTGACGTCCAATAAACGGCCATTTCACGCTTTTAAAAATCTTGCTACTACAAACTTTTTTAAAACCGAATTATACCCTTCCTTCGACTATGACATTCGAAGAACACGTCATTCTTCATAGAATGAGCAAGACGATCGCCACTCCTATGCATGTTTTCCATGACATATAACAGATTTCTAAGGGCATCTAGAATCCATGAGAAAATTGCCTGCTTCTTAATTAGTCAGTTTTTCCCAAGTATAGTTTTCGTATGCAGCCGGAAAGAAGTTCGTTTGAATGCCGGTATCCGCAGCTAACTGACTCATTACGCAATAACGCGTCAAAACGATTTGTTTCACAACCTTCCTTAATTACTCTATTCGAAACGAAAACGCATTTAGGAGTTTTCGTTGAGATTTCATGAGTTAGTCTACTTTTCTTAATACTAGACACAGCGCCCTGAGAAACCGGTTGCCGTAGTTGTACCGGTACTACGTCTATTATTGGCAGTTATCTTATGCATTTGAAAACTTAGCATCCGAAAGAGTGTTCATATTCATATTACATTAGTCGTATTGGCTTGCATGACAGCTAACACCACTTTTCTGTAGCAATAGCAAACCCGACCGTACTAGTAAATTTCCTACCAGCAGTTACTGCAGAGGTAATATTCACCGTTTTTGTCGACTGCCGTATTTCATAAAGGGACTGCTCTGCTGCTTGCACTGGCTGTATCCCAAACGATATTGCTGTCGTTCTACTAACAATTATATTACTGGCAGAGACATTACCCATAATAATGCTAATTGTATTCAATGGCAGTTTACAAGCACCGCCAGGGAAGCGTTAGATATAAATCCGGCCAACAGTTAACACAAACTCACATCAAAAAGGGGATAAAAATTCGGTTAATGGTAGTTTTTAGAGTTTAGATGGTTCACTAGGAAAAAACCTTCTGACAGTAACATGTCGACAGTCAAGGAAGGGAGGGGCAGCACTGTATCGGATATTATCAGTTGCCATTTCTTTTTACGAAACTGGGATCGATTCAAACAGAAGCGCTGAAGGACAGCTACCCCCGTTGGCCAAAGAAACTGTCCCTGGTCAGACCGGCCATAGAGATCGGAGAGCACAAACGCCGTCGCTACGGCATACTCCATCAGTGGATTCCGCAACAATAATTTGAGGGCTTTCTGAATGTAAAAAATGAGTAATTCTTTTCTTAGATAAAGGGTAATTTTGCACAGTTTTCACATTCCGCGGTCAGTCAATGTCAGACAGCAACTGCATTTACAGACAGGAATCGCTAATATCTAGTGGTGCGTGAAAGGGACGAAATAAGAAACCTAGCGGTGACTATCACTTCGAGTGTCGACAACATGTCTTAAAGTAGTGAGTGGGTTACCGGTACGATTATATAACACTTTACATAGTAAAAATAATCCCCTTTCGTAATCTACGAAACCATAAAGGACCATGTCTTGTAAGCCGGCCACGTTCCTGGTAAAGCAGATGTCGGCCTTCAGGGGTTAAACTCTATTGGTAAAAAAAATATTGGTCGGATTCAATTTTCTTTCGTTCAGCATCACGCATAAGGATAAATAAAAACGACCATTATTCCAGGCCAGGTCGATCGTATATTTCATAAAGGCGTATTCTAATACCGCTGGTTCTGAATTTTGCGAGGATAAATCCGGTCGTTCTACGTGCTTTTCAGACTATCAGGGCGCAGTGCTACGAAAGATTAGCACTCTTGGAGTACTATACCTTCCGATCCTTAAAAACCCCAGGCATATTTATGTTTTGACCGTCAATAAGATTCAGCTTGCAGAGGCCTTTCCCATAGTCTAATACTGACGACCGTATTTATACAAACATTGACGGTTGCACTGCTAGGAGATGATTTCGTATAGGCGGCCTCATCGGCGGTAGTACTATTACCAGACGGTTTTTCAGTACCTTATTAGTCTTCGAAGTAATAGTTCTCTTCAACGTCCCTCAGTAGAAGTCACAATGATAGCAAAACACAGCCAATGAATGTTGGTATTCAGACTCCATCGATTTAAGCTCCACTTTCATGAAACTATCCTTATGAAGGTTAAAAAAATGTACTAACCACCTTCTCTTTGCTCCCATACCAAACACACTACGAAATTTAAACTAGTCGTGTGCCAAACTTTCGATAGTTACAAACCGGTTTTCAGATCTGCTGCTGAGGTTTCCTGTATTCTGCTTAAGAATAGATGCGGTCTACTAAATAACGTTAATAATTTTTGCTTCGCTCATATGACACTGACGACGATTGTAGTGCGTCAGTGAATTATCTTCACGAAAACTACACCTTTTTTCCAAACACCAAGATATACTTCGCCGTATTCGAACTGTCTACCGACTGCACTTTTTGGTGCTCTGTCATCTCTACCGCGCGTGTGCGGTTTGAATGAATTTCTTGAGTTTGGTTTCAAATTTACTACAGCAGTTAGGCGCCGACGGAGGGCATCTGTTAGTCAATTGCAGTACACATACCCCAGCTCAGTTTATTTTGTAGTTACCGGGTTCACGTTCGGGAAGATCGTACGCTGGCTTGACAGTTCACCTTGAGAGCCGGTTAGAGACTTCTCGGCGTGCAAAGTGCGTTTAGGTGTAAGGAGAATTCCGATGTACCGAACTATGACTCGAACGCCATCCCATCATTGCCTACTGGGGCTTCTTGCATCTCGTGTAAGCTTGTCTTGCAGCCCGTGTAAGCTTGTCCATGCATGCGTCCCCTCATGTCACTCTGACAATGAACACACGCAGAGTACGTGACTACATTTCCCATACACTAAGGAAGCTAAGCTGGGGGAAGGTTAACGGAATCGATAGTGGGCCGGCGGTCATGTCTTGACTGAAGCCGGCTGAGGTGGCGCCGTCTACCACCGCCCTCACATAGTCATAAGTTCAGGCCAGTCCAAAAACTCAAGTGTTTTGTTTGGCATAAAACTGTGACCATGATGACTGGTCCGTCGGCGGAAGGGGGGGGGGGGAACGGAAGCCTGCAGGCACAAGACACCGAGTGAGGCTGTCGAAACAGCTGTCACAACATTACGAACACTTGGAGGTCACGCTGGGCCAGGCATGCAGACCCTTGAGTGGGTGCCTCCTTTTAGACCCCGCCTACCTAGGCCTTTTGGTGCCATCGCACACGTTACTGTAGAAACTTTGCGAATGGGAGAACAAAGACCCGGGGGGTTGCGGTCGCCGCTATCTGCATGCGCGCAATTAGTAGACAGTGCGTACTCTATTGCGTTCACTGCAGGCATTCACAGGGACATGCCATCGACCGACTCAACCTCCTTACCTAGGCGGAAATGTCCGTGACGTATACTAATCAGGTTGTCCTAGACAAACTTTCTATAGACAGATGGGCGACTTGACTTTTGGTTCTGAGTTGAACATTTCCATTATGAATGTTACCTTACTCTCCAATACGCGGATAAGAAGTTTGTCTGTGATCAATAAAGGCACTGACAGGAAGCATATGATTAATTGTTTTAGATTTAATCCACTTAAATTATTATCTGTTGTATCGACAGTGTGCGTTATTTTTCCAGATCTTGATTAACTGTTCCTGATATTTGCAAATGAGTATTCACGAAAGTAGCCGTTTTCGTAGCAGTAGTAGGGATTACACAACGCCATCAACATTTAACAGAATGATGAGTTGACGTAAACTTCGGCATACAAGCTACTTACTGCGCACTTGCAATGGTAGACTTGGCAGTCCCCAGAGTCTACATCGTACTTGCGTTGGGATAGCAACATCAGCAGCAGGATCTGCAGTTTCCTATCTTAAACCAATTGCGCTCGTACTATCGGTAGTGCCTTCCTATACGAAAATTGGTGACGGAGGGATTGCTTCATCATATGTAGTCTAGTCTCTTGCCGCAGTACCTCGATTGTTAGTCAGGTACATAAACCCTATCTTTTCCCTGGTTTATGCAGCAAACATATGCTTTCGTGTGGGGACTAGCATAGTCCGTTTTGGAGAAGCAGTAGTACTTGGAGAAGATTGATTTGTCTAACAACCGCAGCGCTTGCGTAGGCCCTTTTGATGCAGCCATTTTAACAGTGGAAGTAACATCTGCGTCCCCACTACTAACAGCAGGCCTGATCTAGCCCAGTACTTTAACATGTCATTCACGTATGCGTATTATTTGCTTACTTATGTCGTTGCTACTAACAATGTTAGTCTTAATCATTAGTACCGCTATCAGCAATTCATCAGATAACGGTACCAGTGCCATTCTTAGTAATGCCAATCAGATATACAATTGATGTGCTCATGTCTGACATGTTAACCGAAAATCTGTAATGCGTTTTCATTTCCAACAGACTACGCAGGCATGGCTGTAAAATCACGCACCATGAAGCACAATAATATAGTACTTCAGTTACCGTTGGAATCTTGACATTCGAACGAACTTCCCTTCGAATGCATACAAAATAGACAATCGGTGAAAATGCCTACTTTAAAAGCAAGATTTCTCCTCATTGAGTTTCAATGCCCTTGCCAACTGAATTATATCTCAGGGGAAACATGTATGAAAACATTCCTTCCTATCCTCATCCAGTAAACAATTACGTTTTTTAATTTTATACTCCAACGAGGGGTGTTACTCGCTTTTCGAAACTTTTTTCCGTTCCTGAATGGTTTTGGACTTGACCTGCGCTTACACTTGCTCTCGGTGCTTAAAGCTCAAAAACCACATACCTTTGATGTACGAAAACCCATATAACCCTCTGGGGTATAATGAGGAGATGATAAGGGGTTCCTGAAATTAACCAGTGGATTTGAGTCCTATTGTAAACCTTGGTGGGTGGCGCACACCGATCTTTCATACGTAACTCACTAGCTCCGTTGTGCCTTACGGGCTCTCCCTTGAGCCCAACCAGCAGCCGCACAGCGGCGCATGATATAGGCAGAATGGCGTTACCGACAAAGACAAGGGAGACTGGAATGGCCATTTCTGGCTTATTAGCCGTCGTTAGCCACTCATACCCAATCTCGAAGTGCGGAACACCTGAGGCTCGAACTCGCGACCTCTTAGTTAGAAGTCCACGCCTCTAACCACTGGGTCCCGAACCCGTTGCCCAGTCGGTTTTCGATCGGGAATATACAATGGTACGTGGCACTCACCGATCGTTCATACGGAACTCACTCGTTCCGTTGTGCCTTACGGGCTCTCTCTCGAGCCCATCCAGCAGCCGAACAGCGGCGCATGTATAGGCACAATGGCATTACCGACAAAGACCAGGCAGACTGGAATGGCCATTTCTGGCTTATTAACCGTCGTCAGCCAGTCATTAGTAAATGCACAGGCATGATATTCTATGAACGGGTATTTCCCGATATAAAAGCGCCTTATAATTACAAATTTTTCAAAACCGAACTCTGTCCTTCTTTCCAGTAGGACATTGGAAGAAGACGTAATTTTATACGGGCTAGTAGAAAAATGAATACTTTCACGCCTGCTTTTCCATGCAATACAGTTGAGTTTTCAAGGCATCGACCAGCAATGAGAAAATTTCATGCTACTTCCGTAGTCATTTTTTACAGAGTGCGGCATTCGCATGCGGTTGAAAGGGAGTTCATTCAAAGTCCGCATCCCTCGGTAACTGATCTGTTGTAGAATTCCTTTGTGTGAAGGCTAATTCTAATGCCAAACTTACGTAAACCTTCGTGAAACTAAAACGCATTTCGAAATTTCAATTAACATTTCCTAGCTAGCACACTTTCCGAATGTCATTAACCGGCGAACAAGAACGATGTGTATTTGCTGCAACACCGCGCGACGCAAAGAAGTAAAAGCTGTGAAACGCATAACGTCAATGGTATCGGTTGACTTCAGCTACCGTTCGGTCTACGAGAACTGCTTTCGTGTTCGTATGAGCATTAACAGTAGGGTCCGAGGTGATGGTTTTTTCACCAGCACTTCGCATTGTATATACTGCCTGTACGAACACTCCCAATCCCGAAGAAGAAGACACGATCGCCGGGACAAGAGCTTTATTAGCCTGACGTTTCGGATTCCTACTCGAATCCATCATCAGAGACATAAGCAGATAAGCGTGGTTCATGCACATGCGGCTACAGTATTTATAGAATGCACTAGCCATGCTACCGCATACCTATGAATATTCACGGCTTCCTCCCCTTCATCAGGGATCTTTGCACGTGGCGTGATGGCCGACATTGACGTCGTTAATTGCTGCAATTTCATCACGTGCGTTGGCTGTTGGTGTGATGATTGCTCGACCATCTGACGCGCTGACCCGTGTATTGGGAAGAGTGTTCACCAGTGCGCTCCCCGCGTGGCCAATTACTCCGCCTAGACGAGGTCTCCGCACGGTGTATTGAATGGGAAGATCATTGCACTTGTTAATAGACTGCGGACCAGTGAACCATGACCCAAACAGCTCCCGGCTCACGCTGTTGTCACCTCTTGCGAGAATTTCGGCTCGTCAAATTTGAATGTGTGGCCGGAACCCGTCGAATGAGCCGCAACTTGAGAGCTGGCGTCATTTCTCCGCACCGCTGCAGCGTGTTCGGCCATTCGCGTTTGGAGTTGTCTTCCGGTTTCTCCGACGTAGTTGCTTTGTCTGCAACTGCACCAGGTCCAATAAACGACTCCAGACGTTTCTAGCCGTGGCAGTGGGTCTTTTGGTTTCATCAACTGACGCCTGATGGTTGCCTCCGGCCTGTGTGCAACTCCAACCCCAAGTGGTGCGAGATGGCGGCCAACAGCTTCCGAAAAGTTCTCGACATATGGAAGCGCTCGCCAAACTTTGGTGTTCGTGCGAGGGGAGGGAGCCGTGAATATTCATCGGTATGCGGTAGCATGCCTACTCCATCCTATACATACTGCAGCCGCATGCGCATAAACCACCCTTATCTGCTTATGTCTCTGATGATGGATTTGATTAGGAATCTGAAACCTCATGCTAATAAAGCTCTTGTCTCGGCAATCGTGTCTTCTTCTTCTTCTTCTTCTTCAATACTGCTTCCTGGGACTCGTCTCTTGGCTTCTATTGACTCCCAATCCCGTTTACAGTTGCCTGCGCCTGTAAAATGGAATACCGCAAGTATTCAATGTGTTGGCGAAATTGGTACTAGTAGTAGAATATTATCACCGTCGACAATACCACTATTTATTACCGTGCCATTAGATCCAGTTGCCAAATTTCTAATAGAAGTATTACTGTTGATAGTTACCACTTGTTCTCATATCTTAGTAGTAGTCTCCGAAGTAATTTCCCCAACGGCAGTCTCATTCGCATTAGTACTTGTTTTGTCGCTAATACTAGTCGTATGAATTTTTTATTAGCTGTACTATGCTTATGTGTGAAATCATCTCTGCGGATAACAACAGCAGTGCATTTTTCCTTATGGTTGCTTTCAGATCCTCCGCACTATAATTGCCGTCACTAGCACAGTACATTTTAGTAGTACTATCATTCGTGTAGTACCCCTATTATTACTTGCAGTAATAGTAGTATCAACATCGTTGGAAACATTAGCGGCAATAGAAATGCCACTATTTGTAACAGTTGCGGTAGTCATGATTAAATTTCGTAGATTGCAACAGTGTACATACAGGTAGACTTCTTTCTTAATCGCTTACCGTTATTATCATTGACAACACCGTCCATGTTACTAGTGCGTTCAATACTACTAATAGCCTTCCTATTTTTGGTGAAATTAGATATACCAGTTTCAGGAGACGCAACCTTAATACTCTTCGTATCCCGTCGCAGTCGTACTTATATACAAATAATAGTAATTGCGGTGGCAGTAGCAGAACCTTACCTCATGTATTGGTCGTGGCTTCTGCCGCATTACCGTTCGCATGCGTTGCTAAACGTGGCAGGGTATTTTTTCCTACGCCTTACCTATCGTGTTGGCGGTTCCTTGGCTGAGGGACATAAGTTACAATCTGTGCCTTTCGGTGCTAACTTTTTGCAGGACTACATGCGTTGTCACCATTTTTAGCTAAAACTTTATGCATGTCAGAGTTGGAGTTCTATAGTCGTTACTTATACCCATAATACCCTTTTCCATTCCAATAGCCTAATCTATTCTCACTGCCTTCCCAACTACATTTACTAATCATTCTTATTACAAACTAGCTGGACCCCGCCACGCGTTGCCGTGGCTCAATATGATGCATTGGGAAATAAGGGAAAGAGGAAGGGGCACGTTCCCAACTGAGAAAAATGTAAGGCCACCGGGTAGCGGTATGTATTGCGTGCGTAACCCAGGATTGTCCTTCCAACCGCCGTCGAAGGCAGAGCAGTTGTTTGCTGCACCCAGTCGCGCTCGAGAATTCTGGAGTAAGTGGTGACGGTGGGCATTTATTTTGCCCACTGGTTTGGATCGAGGAATTACAGGCAGTGTGTGTCTGAAGTCTCCTGCAAGCAGTAGCAGTGCATCGGAAATGGTCTGCTGTTTCCTCGCAAGTCCTGCAGTGTTCGGTCAAGGGTCTCGAACCCTTTTTTGCGCCACTGTGCATTCATCCCAAGCAATAAGTTTGCATTTCTGCGTCGGTAATTCAGGTAATTCAGCGCATATGGCATCGTCGATTTCGTTGAAAGTGATCTTGTTATAGAGCCAGATCAATACATGTGCATGGGACAGTCCCCTCTTTTGCTGTTCCAGCTAATTCATCCAGCGGCGCACAGACCCAACCACCTCGTGTTTCACCATGAAGTTCACCAGCGATTGCACTTTCTTCCTGAAAACACGTGCTGTTATGTCATACCTATTCACCGGCGATAGCCCAGAAAGTAAAAACTGATAAATATCCCCCCAAGCTGGATTGCATGTGAATGTAATAAGTAGGTCTGGACGTCCGTACTGACAAACGTAAGCAATTGCACCTCGAGCGTACTCGAACATATGACGTGAACTGTCTGTATATGTGGATGAAAAAATCGTCAGTCTTACAACGTTATCTCTATTACCATCGTTTACAACTGCATCATGCAAATGAATATATCCTTCAGAGCGCAGCTTGGTCTGATTCAAGCGAATGAAAAGCAGACATTCTGTTTCGTTTTTTGCATACATATCCACAATGTAGTGATGAAGCAATTGACGGCATTTCAAAAGGGGGGATTGCTTACACTCTGTCGAATCATAAGTCTGTAGGAGTAGTAGTTCATTGAGCTGCATTTCACGTGCGTTTCCTCGTCACTGACAGGATTTATCATCTTAACGTAGAAGTGATATCTATCGGCACCATCCCGAAAAGTAGATGAATATTGCGTTGAAATCGGTGGCGGTAATACAGTGTCGCAACACTGAAGAAAACTTTTCCCCCGTCTACCTGTCTTACGGGAATGGTGGTAGGAGGGGTTGTACGGGTGGGGCGTCTAAAACGTGCCAAACAGCAAGGAATATAGTGCGCGATAATTAAAAAATTGCATATCCGCGAAAATTTGTTTAAACGCATCAAAAGAACCTCATAAATGACCTTCAGGGTGAGAAAGCAGCCTATGAGAAGGCCGAAGGGGATTTAGGACCTCATGCGTTAACGCTATTGGCCGGGTTAGAGCGGAAGCCGTATTGGCCTGCGGGCTGACCAATGGGCTGGCGCGAGTGCGCGTGTTGTGCGCGCACTGCGGGAGGGAATTCATGATTGAGGTTGTGCCGATTCTTCTGAGAAAGGCAATAGTTGGGAAATATCAGATACGCGATAATGGTCATGGTCGAAGGACGCGATAGTGCCGTACACAGGACGCCTACGGCTTCGATGGCAGTAGGTCGAGCAAGAATGCAAAACAGCAGATTGGGTAAGACAAGTTCACTAAAATTGGTTTGGCTTTGAGGGGAAGGTAGTATTTCATCTGCCGTAGTGGGCGGCTTATTTAAGCCTAGGTGAGGGTTAGCGGAGACTGCATAATGTGGGCATTTTAAAAAGATGATCACACGCTCTCTGAACCGACCAACACACTGGTTTAAGTCAGTTTATTAAGGGAATGAGGCTTTCGCCCTTGAGCTCTCTATTCATATCGATAAACAGAAATCAAGTCATCAATTACATCAGCAAATGCGAAAAGTTAAAAAATTAGCGGTAAGTGTGAGCTAGGCGCAAACTGCCGCCGCTAAAACAATCATTATTATATGTACAGTAGGTTCTCAACAAATGAGCGTCTAGTCTGCACTTAAAGGATTTGACACTTTCGGAAAGAACGACGGCATCAGGGAGTTCATTCCATGCCCCGATGACCCTGTGAGAGAAGGCGTTCCGTCGGACGTCCGAATGAGCCCGCTTCCTTTGCAGTTTGAAGGGATGACCACGCAGACGGTCAGTCCGGGCCAATTCAAAGAATTCATCAAAATCTAGGGCACACTCACGGCTTCTGACAATCCTGTAGGTTTGAATGAGATCGCCGCGCAGTTGCCTGTAATTTAGAGGAAACAGATTTAGTTCGGTCAGCCTGGTTTCGTAAGGCAAATGATGAAGATTCTTGACCATCTTCGTAACCATTGCCTGTAATCTTTCCAGTCGTTGATAATCTTTCTTCAACCACGGTCGCCAGGCCTGGACTGCATACTCTAAGTGAGACCGGACGAATGCCCCATAGGTTTTTCCGAACAGCTTCTTGTCGATCTGCACAAATCCTCGCCTCAGCGCAAATAACACCCTTATCGCACTTTTGGCTGCCCTTTGACACTGTGATGATGGTTTCAGCGAGGAGGTCATTAGGACGCCCAGGTCTTTCTGTTCCACAACATTTGAAAGGGGCTGCCCACCAAGGACGTATTGAAAGGAATCGTCCTCCTTACTGGTCCGTCTGGTGCGGAGTCTCAGGACCACACATTTGTCCACATTAAAATTAAGGAGCCAACGAGCTGAACAACTGTTCAGGCGGTTGAGACTGTCTTGAAGCGCGTACCTGTCTTCGTCAGATCTGATGGGTCTCCACAGCTTATCATCGTCAGCAAACATGATGGCGCTGCATCCCAGGTCGTCGACGCAGTCGTTAATGTAAACCAGGAATAGCAACGGCCCTAAGACGGAGCCCTGGGGTACACCACTTAGAACGGGGGTAGGAGTTGACCTTGAGGTCTCAACGCACACGGTTTGCGATCTCCCGGTAAGAAAATCTGTTATCCATGTCAGCAGCCTTCCTCTTATCCCAATTTCAGACAGTTTGTAGATTAGGCGTTTGTGTGGGACGCTGTCGAACGCTTTCTTAAAGTCTGTGTAAATGACATCGAACCTACCATCCTCGTCCAGTGCGCGAGTCCACTGCTCCGTCGAGAGCAATAAACTGGAAAGGCACGAGCGGTTCTGTCTGAAGCCGTGCTGCAGGTCTGAGAGTAAATGGCCCTGCTCCAGGAACTCCATTGTTGCTTTCTTAACTATGGCCTCCATTATTTTACAGCAGATGCAGGTTAGACTAACAGGCCGGTAATTGTTAGCATTAGTGCGAGCCCCGCCCTTGTATATCGGAAAGATATTTGCTGTCTTCCATTCCGATGGCAGCCTCCCTAATTCGAATGACGAGCGGAAGATGTGCGCCAGTGGTTTGGAGAGTTCATTCGCCAGTTCCTTCAAGAATTTGGCTGGTATATTGTCCGGACCCGAGGACTTTGCTTCCTTGAGATTTTTCAGCTCCCTTTCCACGACAGCTGTCGGGAAGAGTATGGAGTCAAGCACGCGATCAGCAGTCTCAACAGCACTGCTAGCACTGCGACTGCGAAACTCTGTTTCCCTAGTAAAAACCGAGGCAAAATACTGTCCTAAGTTTTCGGCTTTCTCGGTGTTCTCAATGATCTCTACACCATTATCATCCTTCAGCACCGCGACCGGGTCCTTATCTTTCAGTCGACTGTTAAGATAGTGAAATAAAATCTTAGGTTTCTGTTCAGCCTGTCGGATAATTTTGGATTCATACTCCTTCCGTGCCTGACGGATACATTTTTTGACGGCATTTCGTTGACGACGAACTTCTTCGAAATGCGCTGGTGACGCAGTTTCCCTGAATATTTTCCATCTTTTGCTTTTCTTCAGTAGCTGCCTATTTAGGTCCCTAGTTAACCAAGGAGGTCGACAAGTTGTTTTTTGTACTTTAGGTGGACAACAGCGCCTAAACAGATCGAGTGAAATCGTCTTAAAAGATCTCCAGTCGTCCTCCGGATCTCCCCTGAGTATTTGGTCCCAATTCACGGACAGCAAGTCGTTCTTCATCATATTAAAATCTGCCTTCCATATATTAGGTTGGCCCTCTGTTCTCTTCTGGCGTTTAGAGAAGAGCGAGTAATCCCATAGTAGCGTAGTATGGTCACTTTTCCCGAGAGGTGCATTCGAATATACTTCGTCGATATTAGAGAAGTCTTTAGTGAAAACTAGGTCTAGACAATTCACTCTCTGGTTCTCTCGAAATCTTGTTGGTACCTTCACATGTTGCGCCAGAGGGAGATTGAGTGTGAGGTCCAGTAGCTTACTGCTGAAAGAGCCTGGTCCGCCGTTAACTGCCATAGTTTCCCACTCTATTGCAGGTGCGTTGAAATCCCCAGCAATAAGTACCTCTCGGTGGCTAGCTACGTCTTTGACTAAACCAAGAAGCGACTCATCAACTGCACTCAGAAGGTTTGGTGGTCTGTAAATCGCCAGAAATTCTAGATTTTGTGCATTGCTCTTCTTTATCTTTATCCAGACGGATTCATATTCAAGGGAGAGGGTGTGGGATCTTTCAACTGCTGAAATTCCTTCCCTCACATATACGACTACCCCTCCGCCCTGCCTATTTTGGCGGTCTCTACGAAACAGCTGGTAACCCGGTATCGAAATCTCAGCATCCAAGATTTCGGCATTAAGCCAAGTTTCCGTTATGGCGATGACATCGGGGATTCGTTCCGGTACTATCGCTTTGAGTTCGTCGATTTTCGAAACGAGACTTTGAGCATTGGTATACAAAAATCTCAATTTGGCACGATCAACACCGGCATACTGGCGTTTATCCATTTCTTGGGATTGAATGCAGAAGCCGGTCGGAGCTGAGCGGGATGAACTGCTTTCCATCACTCCTAAGCTGTTAGAGTTATGGGCTTTCTCCAGAGGAATGGCCTCTGGGCGCGTATAATTTTTCCGTCCACTATTCTGAGATTTGTCTCGCCCAGACTCGACCGCCTGAGGACTTCCAATTTGAGCCCCCTCCATTTTTCTCGCTCCGCGGGTGAAAAGTCCCGCTGAAAAAAAACTGATGGATGGGCATGTTTAAGCGCAGCTATCCTGCTCAAAAGTAGCTGCGCTTGTTCGTCATTCTCAAAGACAATTTTTAACGGTCTCGGTCGGTCTGGATCTTGCTTTGAGTCTTTAATTTTACCCATCCTGAAAGCCTTTAATTTTGTGACTTTTTCGTCTCCTTCTAAGATCGATTTGAGATATTCCTGGAATATTTCTATGTCATGCTGTATTCTGTCCTTTGGAGTGTCGGAAACAGACTCAGGCATGCCCTTTATAACGATGCATTTACTGCGATCAACTAGACGGCCTTGTGGTTTAATCATACCTGCAGTGTCTTCATCGCGTGCATCCCGGTTACAACCTTCCACCGATTTAGGAAGGTTTGATTCAGCAGGACTAACGCATGACTGCCTGTTTACTACGATATTTTGATCATTTTTCGTTTTCAGCGGCGCGATTTTCGTCTGCGGCTTAGCCAACTCTTGTTCCCTCGTCTGACTCTCTGTGCCTTTTCGAGGTACCCTGCGATTTCTTTGTGTTCGCTGAGATCGCGTCTGACCGCGCTTTTTTCGCACAAGACACTGGGTGTCATTCCTATCAAGCTCTAGCGACCTACTATTTTCTTTCTCCTCCGTCGACACAGCCGAGGAAGCCGTGTTTGCGTATGTTCGCTCGCTTTCATTCTCTTTAGATGAATAGCGAGGGAGATTCCTCAGCTTCTCCATCTCCACTTTAAGGCCCTTTATCTCCTTCTCCATTTCCGCAAATTTTTGAAGGAGTCCGAAACATGTCGTACAGGCTTCGTCTTCGTATTTAATATCCATACAGCTTACTAGACTCCTTGCTCGTTTAGCGGGAGGTGACTTGACAGCGATATATGCAGAGTTGCAGCCATTTGTACTACGAATAATGTTTACTACTTTATTTATTTCAGTCCGTCCACCGTGCGCCGATAGTGTAGTGGTGATCACGCTGCTCACCCCACGACGGGACCTGGGTTCGAATCCCACTTGGGCGAGTCTTTTGCACATTGTCCTGATGGTGTTTTGTCGACTCCCATTATTAATTCAAAGGATATGCAAGGTATTCTAGGTACGGGACGAAGTATTTGAAGGTGTTGGAGAAGCTTTTTAACCAAGCCAACAATATGAAGCAAATAGCAAACGACTCAGCCCCTCTTGGATCAGGAGAGTCCCGCGGTGCCGTTGGCAGAGAATTGATACGAAGGAGAATGGTCGTTCCAAAGAAAGTTCTGTCGGAGTTCCGTGTGGATCGTTCGAGGAATTGCTGATTAAGCTTCAATTTCTTAATCCAAATGGGCCCGCGAAGCGTCCAATAGGCAGAAATCCCGGAAAAGGCAAATCCCTCGGAGGTCGAAAATTCGAAACCGAATTCGAAAGGCGAAAAAGGAAGGTTAATGAAGTTTCCATCGAATTTTGACGGGAACTGGATGGGGAAGTATGCACTGGAAGGGAAGTAATAAGGGTAAGTTAGGTCAGTTAAAGAAAACCCTGCTGATGACATGGCTGCTGTGCGTTTTAATGGAATAGCATTGCTGGACATATACGCATATGGGAAAATTACTTGTCCACACTGGACCGGTATGGCGTACTACTGTAGGTACCAACAGAGCTGACGGAAGGTAACAAACTACTTTTACGATCTATCTGACATGATATGTTTCTGATATGAAATCGGAGTTGCAACATATCGCAAGGGAATGTGTAATTTGTGAATATTACGAAATTTCTTCCTACTATGTCGCGTACCACTCTCGGCATACAGCACAAGCCTGCCGATGTTCGTAGACCGTGGGTTGTTATTTCGGGGAAATTTGCTTTGCATGTATAAAGGTGCGCGTGAGAAAAATTAGCTATTGAATGCGTTAGCAACAGTCAGGGGAACCAGAATTCCTATTGACTTCACATGACGGACGGTCACTCCAACGCGTTTACGATCGTCTCATACGATGAGTTCTAGTGTGAATGCGAGACGTCAGGCGAACAAACTCCTTTGAACAACTCCTCCTGTGATCGCAGTAGGTACAGTGTTAAGTAAATAGGCCAGAGCATAGAATGCTAACAGTAATTCCGACAAGGGTTCTGGACTCCAAGAGATTACTCCCTCGAACAACTGGGATGACAGTAACTGCAGTGCGAAGCAAGTGTGCTAGAACATAGAATGCTGACAGTAATTCGAAAGTGGGTATTAGACCCCAGGAGACAAAGTACGTGAAATGTTAACGAAAATTCTGAAATGAATGCCAAGAGGAATACCTAAATGGCGTTGTAAAATTAAATGTCTTACAGCATGATATTATGGTAAATCAATAACCTAGGGATGCTGGCTTTCGAACGAACTTCTTTTCGGCCGCATGCGAAAACCGCACTCTGTAGAATATGACTAATGAAGTAGCATGAAATTTTCTCATTGCTGGTCGATGCCTCGAAAAGTCAACTGTATTGCATGGAAAAACAGGCTTGAAAGTATTCGTTTTTCTAGTCAGACCGTATAAAATTACGTGTGCTTCCAATGTCATACTCGAAGGAAGTGCAGAGTTCGGTTTTAGAAAGTTTGTATTTATGAGACGCTTTCATATCGGGAAATACCCGTTCATAAAATATCATGCCTGTACATTTACTAATGTTGCTTCGAAGGCTTACAATATGACTCAAATCCACTGGTTAATTTCGGGAACCCCTTATCATCTCCTCTTTATACCCTATAGGGTCATATGGGTTTTCGTACATCAAAGGTATGTGGTTTGTGGGCTCTAAGCACCGAGTGCAGGTGTAAGCGCAGGTCAAGTCCAAAACCATTCAGGAACGGAAAAATGTTTCGAAAAGCGAGTAACACCCCTCGTTGAAGTATAAAATTAAAAAACGTAATTGTTTACCGAATGAGGATAGGATTGAATGTTTTCATGCATGTTTCCCATGAGATATAATTCAGTTGGCAAGGGCATTGAAACTCAATGAGGAGAAATCTTGCTTTTAAAGTAGGCATTTTCACCGAGTGTCTATTTTCTATGCATTCGAAGGGAAGTTCGTTCGAATGCCAAGATTTCAACGGTAACAGAATTACTTTATCATTGTGCTTCATGGTACGTGATTTTACACCCATGTCTGCGTAGTATAGTGGGAACGAAAACGCATTACGGATTTTCGGTTATATATCATTGATTAGCCCTCTTAGCGCAGGAAGTTCTGTAATGGTAAATAGGGTGTAGAACAATCCCACTATATGTTAGTTGCCTCGGGCGAACGGGTTTTTCAACAACCTTCCTTCCGGTAGCCTAAATGGTTGGATACCAGTGTCGCAACACTCCGATTCGCGGCGAATCGGAGTGTTGCGACACTGGCATCCAACCTTCAAAAGTTTGCCACCTATTCCGAAAGAGGACAGTTTCAAGAGAAGAGGAGCATGGTCAACACGATCAAAAGCCTTAGTGAAATCGAAATATACATTGCAAAGTGCAAAACCATTGTCCCTAGATTGGAGAACATAGTCAAAGAAAGAAAGCTGACAGGTGTCACAAGATCGAGCTTTGAGAAATCCATGCTGAGCAGCACTGAGCAGGTTATTCACTGTTAAGTGACACATAAGTTTATCTTTAATCAATGTCTCTAAGATCTTCGAAACTGCGGGGAGGGTGTTTATTGGCCGAAAGTCATCAAATGATGTAGATTTGCCGTGCTTAGGAATGGGCAGAATGTGTGATTCCTTCCACAAGGTAGGATAGGTTTCAGTTTCAAGAGCAAGATTAAATATCTTGCATAAGAGGGATGGGAAGATCGTGTTTGCATCGGCTTTTAAAATGTTTACTGGGACACCATCAGGGCCTGGACTATAAGATTGACGAAAACGCCGAATCGCAACAGTCACATCCCACAGAGTTAAAGTTATAGTTTCTAGAACTGCCCCAGTCGATGGCTGCATGGTCGGAAGCGGAGTGGTCGAGTCTTCAATGAACGTTTTGGACAGGAAATCATTGAAGCTATCAGCGGTTAACTGGGCATCAACTATGGGATTTCCGAGAGCGTCTCGGCGGATGGGATGCTGCGTCTTTCGGTGAGTTCATATTTTTCTAGAGAAAAGTTTCGAAACACTTAACGAATGGTTTTCCGTAAACTGGATCTCCTCGGCTAGCTGTTTTTCTTCAGACAATCTCTTAGCTCGATCAAAAATATAACGAATCAAGGGCAGGACAGAAACATCGTTCTGAAGATGGAAACGACGATAAAGCCTGCGCAATCTGCGACGAAACGGTAAGGGTAGGAAAACCCCATCCCCAACATTAATAGTTTTCTTACGGGGGACAAAACGAGAAAAAAGGGGATCCAAAATTTCGTACAGATTTGCAGTGCAAACATTTACCTCCGAACTAAGGAAGAAATCAGTCCAGTCGTAGGAATTAAGGTGTGTTAATAATTCGGTTGAGCGAGTTGATCGGAAATTGTGGAAAAAGCTATACTTTGGGGACGACGTTTTGTCAGCCTCGAATTCCAACGTTGAAACAACTATGTCATGGTCTGAGTCCCCGAGTGGGCCTAGGGATGACACCGACGATGGCATGCAGCCTCTACAGAAAATTAGGTCAAGTATGCTTGATCCTCGGGTGGAAAAATCGACAACCTGAGTCCACATCCCAACATCCACAGCCTCAAGAAAGTCTTCGAACCTTCTTGGGCCTGAAGGCGGAGACCAGCGGACTTCGGGGAGGTTAAAGTCACCCGCAACCAATTGATACTTAAAGCTTGAGTCGGCCGCAGCATGAAATGCCTGTGAGAGTAAACGATCAAAATGGCCGTTGGCGTTGGAAGGACGATAGACGCAGCCAACGAGTAAGGAGAACTTATTTTTTGGTGCAATCTGGAGCCAGCAGCTGCCTTCTACTGCGGAAAAATGCGGGAGGTCCAACGGCAAAAATGTAAGTGTTTGTAGCCTAGAAGCGACAGTTCGGAGTCAGCTACTGAGGCTGATGCCTACATCTCAGTTACTAAAACAATATCTGGACAATGCACGAACACCAGAGTCTGAAGCAAAGGCATCTTATTAAGCAAGGATCTGGCATTTAAAACAAAAAAGTTTGAAGGGAAAGGCTGTTTGTTTCTGAGGGAAGTGGGCTACATCGTCCAGTTCTGGGCTGCCCACGGAGCAAATGGTCCGGATGCAACCATCCAGTTTTGCAAAAAATTTTGTGGCATTGAAAACTTCTGACATGGATAAAAAGGGGTAGGACTTGGGGGAGGGAATGACGGACAGGTGAACTGGTAACCATCGTTAGCTAACTTATTTTCAGCTGGAAATCCGCGGGGCAGATACTGCAACGTATTCCCACCGGAACGAAACTGAGGATCGGATGAATTAACTGATTCAGTATGGACATTATCATGAGGAATAAATTGGTAAAACGGGCGTGGAGGAAACAAGTTAGGGGGTGGGGGACACATTGTTTCCATTGGAGCAAGAGTTTTATTAAACGGCGGAAAAATCGGCATATTCGGCCTAACTGCCTCAATATGAGGGCTGGGGGGCAGTTGCGAACCCGCTACGTTTTGAGTCGGCGTATTTGAGGCACTGTTAGCCGATTGTGGACGAAAATATTTTACAATGGTGCTGGATTTATTGGGTGTCCGAGTGGCTGAGACAGCAATTGGATTTGCTTATGACTTAGACACATGCTTAGGCTTACGAGGGGTTGCTGGGGGAGTCGATAGAGGCGTGTTTATACCAGGCGTGATGGTGTGTTTAAAGAGCTCAGCATTAAAAGTAGTCGAATCCCCTACGGAATTGGCTATGCCGTGATGTGCAGATGCCGCAGATGGTGTTGTAGAGGACTTATTCAGACTGACAGTAGGTGTCATTATCTTGAGGCTGGTTTTTGACGATTTTAATTTATTCAGTTTTCGCTGCAGGGGTGTGAGGTCTGACGAAACGGAGCAGCGCCATTTACGGCAGAAGTCTCTAGTTATCTCCCTACTCGACAAGATAAAATCGACTTCTATCATGGAGAAAAGGGTAACTGGTATCGGCGCATTACGGCTAAGCGAGCGAAGTCGCTTAGCTTGTGCGACACTGAAACAGAAGCCACAACTTTGTAGGAACACATGCGCTCCTTCCATAGCAGATAATTGGCTCGGAATGTTTCGCAGTACGAAATTATGCTTGCGCTTAATTCTTTCCTCAGTTTCCGAACTTATTACCCCAATAAGTTTAAAAGCTTGTTCAATTACTTTTTCAGAAGTGTTGTTCGTGTCGCCATAAATCAACTGGTCGACTATTTCGCGGGCTGATGGCCTGCTACGATTAAACTACCTCCTAAAGTCCAGGCGTATGGGCATTACGAATGCTATTACATGTAGGTCGTCCATGGATTAATAACGCCTTGTAATAAATCTGCTACCGAACAAGCCGATGAAAATCGGTCTGAACGATGTTTTCTAGGGGAGGAATGCTTTCAGTTCTGTCATTCGTGAGGATCCCCCGTCCACATTTTGCAGACCACGCTGCTAGGCAGTATTTTAGATGCGACTAGGCAGATGTTGCACGGAATATGTAAAAGTTTTACTTGATTTTGTTCTGAATAAGCCCACGAATAACACAAAATCTCTTATGCGGCTTGAAGGAAGTCGGTTAGCATTTATTAAATGATGCTAGAATTACATAGTTTTGAAATCCAGGGTTTTACATGCCTTCGACTCGCGGAACTGTTTTGCAGCTTGCTGCTGTGCACAAACGTACTCCTTACCTTGGCGTTAGATTACTTATGAAGAACCCGACTAACGAGGTTCTATTGGTCGGTACATCTGGATACCTGAAGATCTGCCCTGATAGAAGCATTTTTCTCAGCCAGGCATATATTATTGGGACATCTACTAATAGTCGACGGTCGGCTTAAGGTACTCTTCACAAGCAAATAATAAGGAAGAGCATAAAAACAGGAATGTTCTTGGAAACTATACTTAGAAATCAAAAAATCAACACCAGTCGTTGAATACAGGAAACGGCCTGCTGGGTGTCACAAGTTGACACTTATTGTTGAACTCCTTCTGAGTCCCATTTGGTAGCTGACGCTGAGTGTCTCGGGAAGTTTTATATGAACATTAGAAGGAAGAAACGGGGACAGGGACAAATCCCCGTGTCTCTAAACTATAATCGGCAGAGGTGAATCCTAAGATCCAGAAAGTATAATTATCGCCGCAGTTCTTTCAGCCACTGCCTAACACGAAAGCCCTCCCTTAAGTCAACCAAAAATTTAAAATAAAACGTAGCAAAATCATTATTTAGATGCTTTCCTTTTGTCAGAGATGTAAGACCGACAGTGAATCTGACAAAACTAAAAAACCTTCCCAAGAAGGCGGAATACGAAGGCAGATTCCCCTAAAACCACCCAAATTCCTCTTCCAAGTCTCTTTGAGCTTTCTCTGCAAACAGAGTTTGCTTTTGGGCGAAAAGAAGCGATCGAATGGCTGTAAACAGACATTAACTAATTAGCTTCATCTACCCTTCTTTCATGACAACGGGTTTCCTTAAAAAGCCGTCTGCAGCACAGTTCCCGGGCGGAAACAAAATATTTGGGAATTTTCAGCATGGTTTTCAGTTCAATCGTTCTCGCCTCTCTACATTTTGTTTCCTGGAAACCTTGACTAAGGCTACAGAAAAGGACTTTGATGAAATTGTAATAGACCTTGACTTGTAAAGTCTACGATAATGTCCACATCAAAGTCAACATCACAGATTGGGCAACTTTCGGCATTGCAGAAAGGTAGTAAACTGAATAAAGTTATTCCTAGCCTGATGAAGGAAGCGCACATGTATCGGAGGCGATCATCCAAGGTGAGTGAATATGAGAACGAGGTTTTCTCTGTTTGCATGTTAACAATCTCTCACCCTCTATTTGGCACACTAATTACGGCCTTTCTAGGCTTGACTGTGACAAAATCATGTTTTCCGGGGAACTGATACTTTTACAAACGATTTAAGGCCCAGATTATTAAATATTTCTCTGGAATAATTAACAATGACCGAAAACTTGGTTTGAACGATATCGGTTCTAACTCAATGTAGAAAGGCTCGTCGTCACTCACCTAACCTCAGTCAGCCAAAACCGAACCAAAATACAGAGCACTTAAATATATTTAACGCCTTCGCAGAATAATCTCGGCGTTTTTTGTAGGGCAAGGTAGAACTCTCGCCTCAACGCACTAAGGATGCAAAAAGTGCTAACGGAGCACTGCGCGATATCAGAAGGATGTTTGTGGTTTTAAATAAACGTCGTTCTGGTTAAACCAAGCGCTTCATAGTTCGTCCTCGCTAAGAGTGCAACAAAGATATGCAGAGACTTTGACGCCGAAACGACAGAACAAGTCCTGGGAAGGAAGGAAGCTGGCAAATGGTCGAAAGCATCAATTTTATCCAGAAAGATTGAATTGTCTTACCCTTTCTCCTTTTGTCGTAAGCAGCAGAGGGATGAACTTACCCTAGTTTATGAGACAGTACATGAAATCGAACGATGACAGCGTTTAGATGATATGATTTAGGGATGATTTGCTCTTCACCTTTGTGGCGCACAATGAAACTGCTTATGAAAATGTCCGAATTCAGTATTCGGTCTGGTGTTTTCCGATAGCGTGTAATTGAACGGTGGAATTATCTCTCTGAAGTAGCTACAAAGTCGATTTTGCTGCAGCTTTTGAAGAAGCATTTGAATGGTCATATGCGTCCCTTGCGTCCCCTTCACACTTTGAAACAGGGACAAGGAAGATGTCCGCATCCGCCTCCTGCGGTGTGACTTGGCCACAACCAACAATTTTTGTGTGGTAGCTCATTTTATTTTTTCCAGGGTTATATGCATTTGTAAAAATAAAGGTTTAATAAACCTTGCCTAGTACCTTCAAAATATATATCTATCGAAAATGAGAAGGAAGTAATGACTTTGGCGGAGACCCTTGGAGAACACCAGTTTGGATTGGGGACTCCGTTTACCTGGTATCTCAAATGCATACATAAACCTCACATCAAAACATGAACATGAATGATATCTCGGCGGCAGTTAAATATTCTCAATCGTTTATTTATGCTGATGATCTCAAATATGTATATTCATTCAATAAACCTACGAGCCTTCATTGCCTGGAGCAAATCCATGCTGACTTGCTTGCTCTCTCAATTTGGAACTCAAAATGGCTAATGGAATTCTCTCCGTCTGAATGTCCTTGTATGTGTTTTGGACCTGATAGGTTACCCCATCCAGTGGTCTTTCAAGGCACACCAATGACTGAATGTACCACCATCGAGGATTTAGGTTTAAGCTACACTAATAATCTTGATCTCTCGCCACACGCTGACAGAATTACAGCCTAAGCTGCCCAGCTATGTGGCTTTATTTCTTACAATTTCTATCTTCCTGAAATTAACTTACAATCTATCGTATGTTTGTACTTCACATTCTCGAATATTGTTGCCCATTCTTTGGCTTGATGAATGAAGCTAGTCGTTTTAAAGTTGAAAATGTCCAAAGACGTTTTTCTAAAAAATCTTTTAGGCAGGGAACATCCAAATATCTCCTACTCAGATAGGTGCCAGCTAACTAACCTAAAATTTTTATGGGTTCGAAGACTAGAAGCAGGCCTCTGTCTCCTCTTTCGCATTAATAATAGCTCAAATCTTCCTCGGATTTAAGCACTTACCCCGAGTAGTCACCCAAACAATCTTCGCAACTCTTCCCTGATTATGCCTCCCCCCGCTTTCTCCACTTATAAGTGTTCTTTTTTCGCTTCCAGGTATACCGTCCTCCGGAATAACCTACCAATAAATATAAGATCTTCAGATAATCTGCACACTTTTAAGAGAAGGCTACGCCTTTATCTAAATACTGGCTCCATTAAACCTTTATTTTCCTCATCCTTCTCGGACAACTTTCTCTATGACATTGAGAAAGGACCACCGGGAATTTAGGATTCCGCCATTAACTTTCCGTATCTGCTCACATTTCCCTCTTTTGTGAGTCGTATCGCTTCCTAGGACCCCTCATAAGGAATGTTAATTTTTTCGATTTTTCCGTTCTTGCATCGTGCTTCTCACAGAATGCGCTCTATCGACGCTCTTGGCGGAACCTTCTGTATTTGCCATATATCAGTAGTCTGGTCGTATCTGCCCTGCCCCCTCCTCAGCTGGACTCGGCTGAATGTAACCTATCGCATCTGGGTTCCTATCGCCTCGAGACTGGTTTTCTGTTCACCACTTTGACATGAATGGTCTCGCCCGGCATATGAATTCTGCCTTGATGATGCTCGTTTCGAACCTTTTACTCAATACCACATACAAGCCAGTCCTGCCTGACCCGCCTACTTACCTCTTCATGAAATCCGTTATACAATGCCATCTACAGGACGGTCCTGTCTGATTTTTATATTTTAAGGATCGAAAGTTTTTTGCTCTATAGTGCTAATTCAGTCATACTCATTTTGTTTGTGTTAGGAGTTTTTTCCACTGCTCGCTAAACACTTGGTGACATACTACTTATTCAATAACTACGAATAAAGTATTGTATAAATTCTGTATACCTCGTCTAAAATTCTAAAAGTAATGTAAAAGTTATTCTTACTTGTTATAAAAGGACGCCACGGGTTTCGTATAAAAATTATTATTAACATGGGCAGCGTAACGACTGGAAAAGAATATTAAAATACACAGAACACAAGTGTTTAATAAAACTGGACCAAAGGACAGCAGGATGCCATTCAGAGCACGGAGACAACATAAACTGTTAAATGTCTTCTTTAAGGTCAACAAGAATAATAAAACAGAATTGATTTATAAAGACACATGTACCCACTACCTGTCAGTAAGTTGGGTGGAAAGTGTTTTCTACTGTCTCCAAGTAGTTAGCCGAAGATGAATGGGCAAGGCCTGTGAATGCCTAGGACTGTCCACTTCTACTGAGATTAGAGGAAGGAGAACAATTACAGGAACCCTGACAGGGAGATTTGATTTTGGACCGATTAGGAGCCTCCAGATAATCGCCAGTGAGAAGGAACAGGATTAGAGACCGTACTGGACCCGATGTCTGGAAGTCTGTTTACTGCCAGTTCTGTTTCTGCAGTAAAAATGGGCGGAAACAGCTTGAACCGAAATTTAGTCTTCGTGTTACTTTGGATTTTTATTGGATTTTTGTTATCCTTAAGGGCAACAGAGAATTTACAAGCTTTGACGACTTGTCCCTACCGTGCCACCACCAGCCGCACTTGGCCGAGGCAAATATGGTGTGGCCAAGTGCGGCTATGCTGCGGCCAGGTGTGGCCAAATGGTGTGGCTATGGTCTGGCCATCAACACATTGGCCACACTTGGCCACACCTTGGAAAAAATTTTGCGCGCGGACTTTTTCTCGTTTTTTTCCATTCATCGCGGCCTCGATTTTTTGGCCGTAAACGCCAACCATGACGAACGGTCGCCTAACGTAAAACCCCGAAACGAGTCACGCGAACCTCCACGTCCCAAACAAGATAGGCTACGGCGGTAAGTGGCCCACTACAGGGCAAATGTGGATACCGAAATGGTAAAGTCGGAAGGCGGTATTGTGGAGGGACGATTTATTGAATACGTAAGTCAAAAAATGTAAATGTACAAAGTCTGCCTTGGATCATGGGGGTTTCAGCGACCTTCGTATCCAGGATGAGAAGTCACTTCCACTTCCACCTGATTGCTGTCCGTCGAAATATCTCTGTAGTGCAGTTGTCGAAACGGGGATGTTGGGCAATTGCATCTGCGCGTGAAAATAAACAAAAATTGGACTTACCTTTAAGGACAGAAAAAAGTGGACAGGCCATGAAGGACTTCTTCTCCTTGGATCCGCCCGCCCAACAGAAGTTGTGGCATAAGGGCGGGCCCAATAGAACCGTCAGTAGGTTTCTGAGGAAGTCTGCCTCATTTCGACCACCTACCATGACCAGTTGCCGGATCTGAAAACAGTCAAGTAGATGCGCACATACCGCCTCGTTTGCAAAACCGTCTTCTACGCTGAGCCGACGAAGAAAGTTTTCGTATGCCTCCTCGGTACACAGCGGTAAATTTAGGGAGGAGGATGTGACAGAACCGGCGCTGGAGGCTCTTTGCAATGCATTGACAACATCTGATAGTGTTGCCTGCATCTGCTGCACACTGCTATGAAGAGCCATAAGTTGCTCAGCTAGGAAATCGTTCCTTCTCCTAATAGTTTGTTAGGGAGATTGTTCACAGCCTTACTCAAGTGCCGCTAGCCGGACATTTGTGTTTATTAACTGACCTTTTATGTCAGCCATGTCCTTTTGCACCTGCTGGCTAAATTCCGTCGAAATTGTAGCAGCGGAAACATATGACGAAATTGTCGTGGAGTGTCTAAAGTAATAAATGATGAGCGTTGTCTACTCAAGTGAGGACAGTGGTGTTGACTGGCTGGGTCCAATCGACGCAGTGGAAAACAAGTGTGGCACATTCTCCTCCGTTCTTGGCCTATGAAATGTCTACAATAGTCATACTTACTGTAGTATTGGCGGTGGAGCTGGCCAACCAGTTGGCTCTTTCGGTTGGTTTGGCGAGTCCTCGTCGTCGGAGTCTGAGGTTAGTTTGCGATTATGTCTGCAAAGGAAAATTAATTGTATATAACATGGTAGCACATCTGGTCCTCTTGCCCCTACCCAACTGGCGCGGCTCGGAACTGGAGAGATTGTCAGTATTCTGTGCTCTCTGCGCCGCCTGTCGAGCTTTTTCCAGCGTTAGGCCATTTTTTAGTACCTTGACGGCGTACGCCTTAGTACCATCCGGTGGCCGCTGGTTGTTCTCCAGCAAAATGCTGCGCTGCCTGTGCTTTTTAGGCCATAGTACGCTGCCCGGGTTGTAGAACCAGGCTTCGGCCACTTCCGCCGCAGATTTGTCGTTGAAAAATTTAACCACGTAATACATCTGTAGCAAATGTTACATCGTAAGTCGTAAAATGCAGAAATACATCTGTAAAAAAGCAGACAGTGGAATATAAATCACGGGAATGTAGTTGTGTGAAGGAGGGGGATAAGGTAATACTGGTTGTTGTTGTTGTTGTTGTTTTTAAAGGACACGTACTTGCAAATAATGTCGGAGAGTATGCCAGTTATCGGAGTATCTGATAAAACGGTGGCTTTAAAAATGTATATGGAAGAAGAATGAAGGGACGTTACAAAAAGATCCTGACAGTCGCGGAAAGGGCAGTAAACTATGCTGTTACCCGACAGTGATGTCAGTGCACAGGGTCTATGTCCGATGAGTACGACATTGTCGGGTGGCTCAGTGGAAAAGACATATCCCTTGTGAAAGATAGCCGTTGATTGACGGGGCAGTTTAAAGGGCCGTTGCACTCCCTCATCGTCGTCCAACAGCATAGAACGTGTAGACTGTTCAGACAAGCGTCTTTCCGAAAAACGCCTGTACACTTGTGCGGCTATGTTAGTGGGCCCTTTTATGCTACCACGAACGTGTCGTAAAAAAGACTCAAATGGAAATGCTGAAAAATTATTCAGCACCCCAAACCGAACGACGTCAGCGTGCAAGTGGAGTAGAGAATGGACATTGTAAACAAGATCAGATGGCTTATAAAATGTGGAAAAATTATAGACAAAATTATACTAAAGTTGGCGGCCATAATCACCACGGGATATATGCAAGGTTGGGTGGCAAAATATGTACACTGCCACGGAAAACTGTAAAAATTGATTATAACGGGGTCCGTCTAAATACGGGGACAAAACAACGGGGCCTATGTACGGGAGGAATTGCCGATATTCGGCAGCCTTCCAAAACTCCAGGAAATCAAGTGTTCTACAATTGCGTGAAAACTCTGTCGGTAAACAGTGGCTGCATAGCTTAATAGATGCGTTTAATGACACAGAGTTGCAACCAAAACTAAGTCGCCAAGTATGCAACAATTTTCGCATAACACCGAGGCAGACTTGGTGCATGTAGTCAATTAGGAAACAGGAAACCATGTCGATGGGCAAATCCTCGAAGGGAGATCTGCCCTTATGATGCGGTCCCTGACTTCGCAACCTAAACGACCTGTCATCACGCAGACGGCCACTGTACTGCGGAAATGTCATGCGATTCGCAATATGTTTCCCTTTGTGACAGCATCTACAGCAGTTACGATTGTAAATACAAAATAGCGTACCTGTCGCATCCATAGTAGCCATTGTGGGCCTTCACTTGTCGTACATAACAGCGGGCTGGGGTGTCGCAAATCACATTGAGCAAATGCACTTTGATGACACTTTCTGTACGTGGATCGCGCAGGCCCGTGGTGAGAAGGCCCTTCAGTTCACTAACACAATCGCCCAGAAAGTCTTCCAACGGTTCGGGCTTACCAAAACCGCAGAACACTCCAACGACAAAGGGCTGCCCAACAACGGGGTGGTTAACACGAGCAAGGATCGGCCACAAGCACTGAGCAGACGCTTTAAAGACTTTCATTCCGTCAATGTGCAGTTAAACGTGCACTTCAGGAATGCCCGTTAGTGGGCAAAGGCGCAATTCGTCGAGTAGGCCGCGTTCGAGACCCAGGTGAACGTATTTTCTTCTCTTCAGGGACTTGCTAACGCAAGTTCGAGGAGTCTGCAGTAGCGTCCTTGGGTCGATGGGTAGCTCCGGATGATAGTGCCGCAGCACCTGAAACAAATCCTTTGCTGTGGTCAACGACAATTTCGCCCTCAAACAGAATTCGCGCAAATCCGTCGTCAAGCATCTGCCTTCCACTGTGTCCACGGTCCCAGCCACTGCAGGCAGTTCTATGTATTCCAGTAAATAAGGCACATACAACTCCTACCCGTTGAAACTTCCGGCATTAGTTCGGGCATTTGCAATTCCGGTGACTCATTTGCAACCAAAGACGTTGATGCGATGGGCTGCTCCTCCATAGCAGCATAATATGCCCGCCTCTGGCGCAAGAGCCGCTTGTATATAATGCTTCGGTGAAAGCCGTAATACTTACGCTTCATAGCAACGAATAGCTACTCAACGACAACAAATATTTGTACTTTCAACATTGTTCGCAAAATCATAAGTGAAATTATACTAATACATATGTTACTACACCTTAATAAGCATGACGAATACCCTAAATGGCATAACTTGGAAAATAAAGAAGTAGCAGACACAAAATGGACGCCGAATTACTTGTTAATATGTCATAAACAATCACAGGACGAGAGAACCGCAACGCTTACCCCAGACACAGCAAAAGTTCAATGACGTCGCATTGGCCCACTTAAACAAAGCACCCTAATCAGCTTATTTCGAGACATAACCACTGCTCACAATATGAAGATTCCTGGTACTTTATGAGTGATATAGGATATATCTTGACTAATTTAGCACTTTGCAATGCAGAAGTGGTCACCTACACGATTGGGAGGTTCTCCTAAATTTCTTCAAATTTGGCGTGGCCATGGCCGCTTGGACACACCTACAAGGTGTGGCCAGGTGTTGGCAGGGTATGTAGACCAAGAGTTGTTTTCAGTTGTACATGTATTGTATGGACAGGTTGTGTTTGCAAGAAACCAGTATCGCCCAAAGTAACTTTTTGCACATTGTTCTCTAACTTTTGAGTTCCAAAAGCCTCTTGTTGTCCACTTTTAGAAAAGCTTTCCACGCATTCAATCTCTATCAGTCCTTTAATATACAGTGCGTGACCGACCTCATGAATTGTTGGCCGAAATTCTGGAATGCGTTTCCGATTAGGATGGATTACTTGGGTGGGGTTGTTATACTGATTTTCATGTAGCATAACCCTATAACATTTCGGACTCATCAGGATGTCGGCTTTTGAATGCACTTCTTTTTTACATCCTGCAGAAACCACACTTGGTAAAAGATGACTGCTTAATTAGCACTCACTTTTTTCTATTGATTTTCGATGGTCCTATAAATTTAAATATATTTTATAGAACATGTGCACAAAAATATGCTTTCTTTTGCTCATCTGGAAGGAAATCACATTGACTTTATATTTTGTGTCCGAAGAAAGTGTGTATTTAGGTTTTTAAAAAGTCTCCCAATTCCCGAATAATTTTCAGCCTGATCGGCCATTGCATCAGCTTTTGATAATTTCAGTCTACGAGGTGCACGCTTTCTGCGTAAGGAGAATCATATATTCCTCAGTCATTAAGAAGATACCACATAGGGTTCAGGGAATTTTGCAGTGGATCCGGACTGTGTTGTACATTTCGTGAAGAGCATTAGTAAACGGACTAGTGAGGTCTTGCATGCATGGGCATCGCACGGTCTTAAAAACCTCATAATTAGAAACTTTTTCAAAACCTAAATACACACTTTCTTCAGATATAAAATGTAAAGTCAATGTGATTTCCTTCCAAATGAGCAAAGGAAAACGTATTTTTGTGCACGTGTTCTATAAAATATATTCGAATCTATAAGACCATCGAAAGTCAATAAGAAAAATGCATGCTACTTAAGTAGTCATTTTTTACCGAGTGTGATTTCTGCAGTATGTCAAAATGAAGTGCATTTAAAAGTCGACATCCTGTTGAGTCCGAATTGTTATAGAGTTTTTCTGCATGATAATCAGTATAACAATCCCACTTCAGTAATCCTTCCTAATCGGAAACGCATTACAGAATCCTGGCCAACATTTCATGATATCGGTCACGCACTGTAGTAAGGAGGCCAGTTGGATATGTAGATTGTGAGGGATCTTAAGCAGGGAGATTTTAAAGTGCTCTCTTCCCCTACCCCTTAGTCAACATAAAACTTCGCGCTACTTCCGCAGCTGAACTGTCAGCCTAAAGTGTGGATATCTATGTACTGACCTTGACAAATAAACGACAGAGCAATGAGGGGACGAGCGTAACCCTAATAAATTATTAAACTCCACGAATAACGACAATCAATTCAGCAAAGCATATTTTGACCGGGAGGCGAAGAGCAAAGTGCATATACACCCTGCTGGGAGAGGGAGGGGAATACAGTCAGCCAGAGTCATCGGAGCCGATGAACTCCCAGGAGTGAGAAATAGGTTGTACACATTGCCTACTAGTCGCGAACGTGGTGACAAGGACAAGGAGGGTGTTTGTTTTATCTCGAAACTCTTTGCTGCCAGACAAGGAAGGGACGGGATGTTGTTTGGTGCTGTTCCCTTGGGACTGATTTGGCAGGCTGATGAGGAGAGTGATATCATGCAGCCCTCAACTAGCCAAGGGGGAGCTGGGAATAACCGGATAGGGTGGTGCTCATTCAGCTAATATTTGACGGATTCTCCAAACTGGGTTTTCTGTCGGAGGACCATTTTTAACCATTCCTCCGAAAATATGTGTTCACCGGGCCTGCAAATGCATCCGAAAAAGACAATGCATAAGAACCAAATGCAAATGGTAAAACTTAAACGTACATAGAAAGCCATTCTTTGACTTATAAGTCGTAGTCGGCTGACCTTACTTAACCCTTAGATTTACAGGACTTGAGACTCGAACCCGCGCTCTCTTTTTGATCATCGGATGTTATAAAGTCCAATTCTCTATCATTGAGCCACAGATCTGTCGCCCGGTCGGTAGCGATCGGAGTTATTAACTGCAGCGGAAGTGCGTCTGCTGACCAGGACACGTCCGTCCTGTTGCACTTCGGGACTCAGTCAAGAGCACTTTCGTCTCAGTTTATATTCCCGATCGAAATCGACAGGATAACGAGTCCGTGATTCAATGATAAAGCGTTGGACTTAGTAACGCTCGATGACCAAAAAGAGGACGTGGTTTCCAACCTCAGGTCTTGCAAACCTCAGATGGGGTACGGCTGATTGACAAAATGGCCATCCCAGTTCCTTTTTCTTTGTCGACACACCTCTCTCAACATAATTACTTGACCGTCCGCGAATGGGCCCCAAGGCGCAACGGGACTACCACGTCTCGCGACCTGGTCGGTGAACGCACGGCCATCACAGGCGGGTGACGCATAGCCCTATCTCAGTTTAACCTCAACCAGTAACTTGTGCTCTAACTGAATCCATGTCGGAAAGAATTACCGCCGAAGGTACGGGAGAATAAAAGGGCTACTTTAGCATGTTTACCGTCGTCGTTATTCAACCATACCTCAATCACAGACCGTGGAGACTCGAGACGTAAACCGTTTATGAGAGTGCTAGACCGGAGCTCCAGAGTCAGAACGGAACACTCGGATTCCGCCCCTAACCAGGATAGATCGGCGGATTTTACTGTCTTGTGACATCAGTACACACTCAAGTTCAAACGGGGCTGTTTTTAGATATATTACGCTTTCAATGTCAAGCGGTAAAATTGCATATTTGATAGACAAAGTGAACCTGACTGTCTGATCATCCTTACTAAACACGAGACGGCTGCCATGTCTGAATGTACACCTCCGTATATTTCCCGTTGGTGGGGAGCGAAATGGGACCCAATATTAATAATAATTTTTATTAAAGACCCGTCGGGGTCCCATCAAAGCTTTGAGGAGCTTTGTGTGAGAGGGAATGCGTCGGCTAGTTTGGATGCGAAATAGTCCTTGTAAATCATCCTTCCAGTGATTAGGTAGTCAGAAATTTTGTTCGTAGCCCCAGTTAAGCCAAAAAACATCCTCTTGGACAGCAAAGGCTACGACTACCAACGTTAATTTCCTCCTTCATCCGCACTAAATAAACATCTAGTTTTTAAGGTTTATTGTAAGCTCTTATGAACTGACAGATCACCGGTCTTCCTCGGAAAGTGTGCAACTGGACAGATTTTTCAAAGCAGCGGTAGCTCATGCCTTTTTCTTGCAGAAATAATACCTCCTGAAATGCCTCGAAGCACTGGTTGGTATCAATGCCTCCTAGGAAGAAAGTGACTGTCGGCAAAGGGGTATCAGCTACGGAAAAGATTACGTCGTACATACATTGGAGGACCCATTGAGGGGTCGAACCCCCCGCAATCGCGTCATGCAGCAGCAGAAACGTCAGTGAAACA